CTCTACGCAAGCTATCAGATTGCGCCCTTCCTCAAACCTGCTTTATTAAATGCGTCCATGTGGACAGTGGCTGGTACCCAGTGGAGGCCCATTCGCTGCAGTTATCTGCTTCCTGTCCGGTGGGCTTTACGAATATAATATGCCGAAGTTAAGCTGAAGTACTGAGAATGTTCTCTGTTTGATGAGAGTGTAAGAGAGAACAGGATTAGGAGTTACCTAACGAGGAGTCCCGCAGTTTATACGCTGCATCAATTATTATTAGAGTGATCAATTCAAGGAAGATGAGATGGGCATGATAAATAGACGCACGGAGAGATAAAAATGAACACAAACATTTAGTCGGAAATCCGGAATGAAATATGAGGGAGAGTCAGTAAATGGGTTACAAATGGATATAAAACGTAGAGCATGCGATATTCGAAACTGGAAAAAAAAAATATATATATATATCGACATATCCTCCACCAACAATGATACACTTACTTGTCCTACCGCTTTACCAGTGAGTCGAAACTCGCAACATATAGAAGTATTTCGACTATTGTTTTAGCCACTTATGCATCTGGTCGGGCATCATCGGTAAATTTCGAACGTCCTTGAGACAGTTTTTCGACCATGTTGTGAACTCTTTAAGTGATAAACACTTCCCACCTCGGACAGGAAACATTTCTTTATGGATGTTCTATGTATTAAGTCCCTTTGCCGACAAAAGTCGCCATTTTGACTACTGAAACCAGCCTCTGAACATGCGCATGCGCGTCTGCTACCTAAACTCTCATGAAGCTGGACTGTATTGCTGCCTAGTGATACACATATAAAACCTATTACGTCCATTACAGATGTCTTACTTCCATTGGTGCCTGACCTATTTACTGACTCTCCCTCGTACTTGATGACGTACATACTACAACACCTCTACTAGTGGGGGGAGGGAGGCAACAGTTACCCAGAGCGCCGCTTAATTCAAAGCGTAGCTAAATAAGGAAGAGATATGTATCTCACTTTTAGTGGCTTGCAACCTAGCCCCGTGATGTCACAAATGCATTATGCGTCTATCTGTTCTCCTCGCTCAGAATATTGCCCAGTGACGAGAGCTAAGTCTTCGTGGCTTAGTGCTTAATTGCTTAAATAATTAAGCACAGTGAAACTTTCATTCATTCAATGGCTCTCCAGCCCTTTGTTGGGCCTTAGCTGTTTTTCAGTTTCTTAATCCTATACACAGTCGGTAGAACTCCTTTTATGAGGAATCAGCCCGTCACAAGGCCTCTACCTACACACAAAACAACACAAACACAGAATAAACGCATTCAGACATCCATGCCTCGAATGGGATTCGAGCGGGCGAAGACGGTTCATTCCTCATACGGCGCGGCCACTGTGAGCGGCACAGGGTCAACTTTACCTTTTTTATAATATTGCGCAGTTCTAATGTAATTTTTCAACACGTTTCATTATTGCTTAAAATCTGAAAAAAATAAAGTACACTACATTTGAACACCTACAAGCTTTCCTACGCTTATCTCGCTAAGTATTTATCGCAGTGACAAATGTTTCGGACAAAAGCTGTAGAGAAGAAACACATGAAGAATTCCGTTTTCTGGGATGTGGCACCGTGTAGAGCTTTGTGTGATCTTGTGTGAACCGACGTTCTTCTGAAACGTCGGTTCACACAGGATCTGCACGGCGCCAAATCCTAGAAGGCGGCATTCTTCATAGTCACCGCCATGAAAACCTAAAATCTTTCAAAGAAACGCACGTTTTATGGTCAACATACATTTACATGTTTTCTGTAAAGGTGAGTGTTACATTTGGAACTTTCTGTACAGAACTTGCGTCCGTAAAAATTATTTTCTGTATGTAAGTATAGGACAAGGTTCCTTGTGTTGTTTGACTAGCGATAACATTTTCTGTTCCTAAAATATGCGCATGCGTATAATATATTTTCGAGAGTTCATATATTATCGTGTTCGAACCAGTGAAATGACGCAGTCGGGCCCCGAAATGGCGCCAGTAATTCAAGAAATGTGAAAAAGGAAATGTGTTTACAATCATCAACACAATTGAAGATCTCTGAAGCCTCATATTATCAGTAACTAATAATTAATATTAATTAATCAGAGTTTTTTCCGTCCTGAATATATGGGTCTAAATATTTATAAAAATATTATCACGTGTTAGAGTGACTAGAGAAGGGGTTTGGATTGGTATTCGGATTTATTGCACACTTAAAACTTGGAATTACAAGTAACTATAAAGTTTCACGAATCACTGTAACCCACACTAGTCTTCTCAGCTTGTTACACCCTCCGCTAGTCGTTGCCTGGTTACAGTCTTCTAACAAGGGCTGTTCCTCACCCGCCATAAAGCTCACGAATTGCATTTCCTAACAGACGACTCAAGACTGTCTGCAATGCCCAAGGCTTCCTAGTCATGGTCCAGTACACCAAATTTCTGCTGCTCCCCTCAAGCACAGTCTTTCTGGTTTCAGTGTCCTCGAGCTCCATGACCAAGGTTTTTGTTCTCTCCTAGACATGCACGTGTTTCGAAATGGGGCCTCCTCTTCGACGAAGGAGGGGTCGGTCCTTCTGTATAAGCGCTACGTCTGTTGCACAATAGTTTCAGCACGAGTATATCTGTGCTGTCACGGCGTCCAGGTCACTGTGGACTCTGTGCAACCTTTGTCACTGCACTGCACTAAGTGACATTTATACAAGTTATACAGAGGTTTCCTGTCAATGCAGGCTTGTGCAGCAGGTCATTCATAAACTTATGTAACTGCTCTGAAACCGCAGTCAGCTGAGCGGTCATAGCTCTGACCGCCTCCAAGTTTAAGCCTCTGTACTTCCTATGCTTGTCTTTTCCTTGTCCGATACCACGTACATTTGGATTTCCATGGTTTAGGATTACTTATACCTGTGTCCTGCATAATTTAGTTATGTAGTCATACACATAAGAAATTTTTAAGGTCACGTGCAATACGCATTCTGGTGTATAACTGTTAAAGACTTCCAATAGCGCGGAGAACTCTGTTCTACAGGCGCTGCAATTTTAAGAGGTGAGCGTACGCAGGGTACCTCAAGGTGGGACAGCCGTAGCTTGCTTGATCAGAACTTCGTAGAGCGCAAGTTTGATATTTGTATTTAAACATCCACTTTTGAATAGAGAATAGGTCTTTACGTACGAGCTCAAGGCCTTGGCTACAGTCCTTTCGATATGGTGTCTCCATGTCATCCTCCTGTCGAAGTGACACCAGGATAGCTACATTATTTACAAAGGGAATATCTCGCCTGTTTAGTTGTAGTACGTCGTCAGGCGCTCAAAGTCTTCTTGAGAAATAGATTGCCCGAGTTTTCCATTCACTGATCTTCATGTTGCAGCGCTCACACCACGAATTCACTGCAGTGAGGCCGCCTTGCAGTTTGCAGAGGACAGGACGTTCGTGTTTCTCTGTCGCGTAAATACAAGTATCATTTGCGAAGAGAGTTCCAGGTGCCGCGGGGGCATTATTCATATATAGAGTATAAAAAATCGAGTCAAGTACGGAACCTTGAGACACCCCTGCTTCTACTTTCCTTGGCGTATAAAATTCTTCTTCTAGCCCCAACTCACTCATGGAGCTGACCTTTTCTTGAGAAGCTGTCAGTTGTGCTCCTACTCAAGAACTTCCGAATTTTGTAGAACCCGAAGGTTCATTACCGTGTTCACAAGAACCCTCCACTGGTCCCTGTCCTGAGTCAGATCAATCCAATCCAAATTATCCCAGCCTATCTCACTAAGATCCATTTTAATATTGTTCCCCCCCCCCCCTACGGCTTAGTCTTCATAGTGGTCTCTTTCTTTCTGGCTTTCCCACCGCTATCCTATATGCATTTCTTCTCCCCCATTCGTGCTACATAACCTGCCCATCTCATCTTCCTTGACTTGGTCATTATAGTTATACTTGGAGAAGAGTACAAGTTATGAAGCTCCTCATTATGCAGTTTTCTTCTATCAAGACTGAATTTTCTGTCAGTGAGAAAAGAAGCATGTTGTGTTGAAGGCTTTCCCGATATGCAAGAACACAGCAGCCGTCGACAGGTTATTGTTGAAATTTTGGATGACATGATCAGCCAACCTCATGCATTGAATTATCTTACTGTGATCTGAACAAAAGCCAAACTGACTTGTCTTTAGTGAATTTTTCCCTCATTTTTTTTTCGGAATTGAAGCTGTCTGTTCACCTCCACTTAATGCTAGGTCGATAATGGTGGAGCTGTGCCTCCGCTTCCCTATATATATTCATGGCATAGTGCTTGAATAATTAAGCACATGGACAACTTTACATTTAATTATTTTAAGTGATGAACTCATCATAGTCATAACTCCTCAAGCCAAATCCTGATCACATGATCTCAAGGCTGTGAGGTACGCCGTCAGTGACGGCCCGAGTAACTCTTTAGTTTATGTAACATAAGACACCTCTGGGATCACTTCCCTTCCTCACATCAACTACATTCCTTCTTGTCAGTAAGTGAAAGGCACAAATGTCAACATATCACTTATAATCCCTACTAAAGTACTTGCTTGTTTAACAGCGAATCTCAACCAACTGTAGCCTCGTTGCATGCATTATAAGTGTCAAACGTTGTCACTTCTTATCCTGCATGTTTTGAATTTGGGTAGTTTCTACTAAAAGACGTACCGAGTGGACCCAACTGGACTCCACCCGCCACTATGCGAACTTAAAAAAAAAACACCTTTTCACAAAATCGTTTTGCACGCACCTTGGAACAATGTAGCACCATTGTCTTTTGTTTTGATACAGCATTGTACTGATTCTTAATCCACGCTAAATTCAAAGGCTGGTTGCTTATATGTCGATGGACACTGGGCGAAATTGTGCAACAATATAGACTGGACGCATTGTTGTTGTACAAAGAACGGTACTCGATATTGTAACTTTTTTAAAGAGAGGACGCATTTTGTACCATATTTTAATTTGTCTTCTCTATTTCTTGCAGGGTTACGAGGGGTCATTATTGAAAGTAACAAGCAAAAACGGAAAAACTGCATCGGTAAGTGTTTTATTGGCAGATTTATTACAATACATTGCAACATTTACACATCATACTTAGTAACGAATAACACTGTCCTGTGTGAGCTCCACTGAACTGTTCATGTTCATGTCATCACCATCATCATCGGGAGCCGGGATAGCTCAGTCAGTATTGTGACAGCATACGGACTGGAAGGGTCGGAGTTCTAGTCCCGGTAGGATCAAGAATTTTCTCTTCTCCACGTCTTCCAGATAGTCTATTGACCCACCCAGTCTCCTATACAGTTGGGTATCGGGGGTAAAGCCGCAGAGGCGTGAAGCTGACCACTCACTTCCAAGTAATGCCGAAGTCAAGAAAATGTGGCTCTATACGTTCACTCCCCTACGCCTTCTTGGCGCAGTGCTTAATTGGTTAATCACAGGGACTTCACCTTTATGATTATCATCATTATTTCAGGACAGGGATGGGTGGCGGGCTTTTGTGAGCACGGAAATAAATAACCGTTTTCCATAAAAGGCGGAGAATTTATTGACTAGAGTAACGACTGACAGTTTCTCGGAAGGCCTCTCCTCAGTGAAGTTAGTGAATATTGTTATTGTTATTAATCAGTCAGTCTATGTAAGGAACGTAGGTTGGGGGCGGTTCAGATGTGCTTTGTGACGTAATATTTGGATCTAATGAAGCGGAAGTGAAAAAAGACTCAGAAATCTTAAACTGAGCAGTTTCATAATTTGTACTTTTTATCAGATATTAATTAAGGCCCTCCGTAGAGAACGGAAAGGGCTGTCCATGTAGATGGTACATATGTACGAATGCGAGATTTCAGGTCCTCGTAACAGTGATTATAAGATGGCTGTCTTCAGAAATGTGACGCTGTGTAGTCTGGTAGAACTTCTACCATGNTCTAATGAAGCGGAAGTGAAAAAAGACTCAGAAATCTTAAACTGAGCAGTTTCATAATTTGTACTTTTTATCAGATATTAATTAAGGCCCTCCGTAGAGAACGGAAAGGGCTGTCCATGTAGATGGTACATATGTACGAATGCGAGATTTCAGGTCCTCGTAGCAGTGATTATAAGATGGCTCTCTTCAGAAATGTGACGCTGTGTAGTCTGGTAGAACTTCTACCATGAAATATTGATAGCATTTTCTTCCGAAACTTCGGTAACGTTGGCAGGCTACACGAACACAATATAATTAATCTGTACAAAATTTCAGTCATTCAACCCGAAGAAATGAGGTCACGTGGGAGATGTAAGCGCAGAAAAAATACAGCATTAAAATGGATCTATAGAAGAGGTCGGAGTAGATTTATCTGGCTTAGGAGACTGTCTGTTGTTTGACTATTACGAACATCTTCGTGAGATATTCTGAAGGAAGACTTTGTTTGCTCCACCCAGTTAGTTACTTACATTGTCATATTATTTGTTAGTTTGTTAGTTAGCTGTGATGATAATAATCTGGCAACTTAGTTTTAATGGTTGTTACTGTCTGTTTGTTTGCAGCCAGTTGGTTTCGTAACGTTCAACACTCGGGCAGGAGCAGAAGCAGCCAAGCAGGACCTACAGGTGCGTGTGGCAGTCTAACTCAGGACAATATCGTTATAACGAGCAGCTGAAACTGATCAGCAAAAGGAGATACCCAGAAACTCTATTTTAATCAGGAAATTTCATTTGTCATGCATCAGGATTTTATGGTTACGAATGAAAATGTTTATAGTGGCCGTTACCACAAAACTTATATCACGATCCTAACCACAAAAGCACTTCTTCATAAGAGAATTGTATGGTATTTCATTATGATATTAATTCTGCAGCAAAATAAAATTTAATAATGCAGTTATTTCATAAGAACCGCTGCCCAGTTCATAACGTTTAAGTATCCATATGATTCCCATTTAATTTTCTAAATGAAAAGAATAATGCCTGCTTGCCCATTTGTCTGGACATCCACCGAAATTGGAGTGTAGGATATATGTGCCCGTGATATCTTCCATATAACAGAATTTCTATAAGAATTAGTTTATCTGTAACATCACTGCGAAATATAGATTGTGATCTTACGGATTATGACGCCGTTTATTCGGGTATGTTTTATCAACGTTTCAGAAAATTTTACTACGTCTGTATAAGTTATAATGTAGGCAGGAAGTTTCTCCCAACCCGTTAGTAGCCTCCCCATATACCAGACTATACGGCGAGATAATTTACAGAACAATCCAAATCTTTACACCTGTAGAAATTGTAGCCTCATTAATACGACACAAAATTAAATAAGTACTGTTTGTGGGCGAAGAATATTTTCCAGTTGTTTCTGTTCTTCAAAAAAAGTGACACAAAATAAAATTACTCTATTTTCCGCAAAGCTCATTGTCATGTAGGGGCACGCGGTATCTTAGTTGGTTGAGGCAATATGCTGCAAACTGGAAGGTCGTGGGTTCGATTCCCGATGAGGTCGTTAGACTTTTCAATAGACCTAATCCTCCCAGCCGTGCTATGGTCCTGGCGTCGTCTCAGCCTCTAGCAGAAATGAGTACTAGGAATATTCTTGGGGGTAAAGGGCGCGTAAGGATGACAACCTTGCCGCATCTATGAGCCGATTGTCTAGAAAATTTGGAGGAATCGACGTCTCACAACCCTATGGGCTTCCACGGCCTGTTACAGGGATACCTTTACCTTCACTTATACCTTGACATGTATTTTAATAAGTGACTCACGTGTGGCATATAAGAAAATTTATGTTTTATTATACAACCTTTAATTCCTATCAAGTTTTGGGTGGAGCCCTGGTACAGTAGGGCAAGATGCACTCGTCAGCTAAAGAGCAGAGACACACGAGAACGTGGGTTACTTTCATGAATAGAAAGGAATATCATTAGCGAATGTGAAATTATGAAAATGTAGACAGGAAGTCATCCTAGAAGAATTGAAGTAGGCACCTCTCTATCATTTGCATGCTAAAGAAATTAATCTTCTAAGCCTGTAAAGAGGAATATTTGTCAGTCTGGAGCTCCCATTGGCCAAGTGAATTTCTCTTTATTGCTAGTGGGGTGGGACTAAGTCCCTTGTACTGCGGCCACTTCTGGCCTATTGTATCAGCCCCAGATGATAGGTGAGGGTGATTGTGGAGCAATTGGTGGAATGAAGATTGGCAGGGGAAACTGAAGTACTCGGAGAAAACCTGCCCCAGCGCCACTTTGTCCACCACAAATCCCACTTAACCAGACCCGGGATCGAGCCCGGGCCGCCGCGGTGGAAAGCCAGCGACTAACCGCTTGAGCTATAGCGCCGTCTGTGCCACGTGAATTGTACTATATTAATGTACTCTGTAATCTGACGTTCTTGAAACCAACACTTCCCGTTTATATACTAATGTTCTTTGGAAGATACTGATTGTCTGGAAACCCTTAGACGTAATTAGAGATCTCTGGAGTTACAAAGTACAGTACCTTGCAAGATAAACTGGATATTAAATATTAATGATAACGTTTTAAAATTTACCCCTCCTCCGAGTACAGGCTGACCCAGTTAAAATGTGCTCTAACAGATAATTTAGTGAATACATGTTCACTTGGATAGGATTTTCACCACAAAAATATGCGGATTTTAATATCACGTGAAGTACATAGTGCTTTTTTCCTTAAAGACCGCGTATATAAAAAGAATTCAAGAAACATAAAACAGCTGAAAAGAGTATTTAAAGTTCCATAAAAAATCTTCTTACACTTGTATCGATACGACAAACGAAAGATCGATATATATGTTCCGAACAACGTAAGGTACTTTCTGCAAGTTTTGTTAACACTGGTTTTTGTTTCGGGCTAAATGATACATTGTGTTGTATTTCGGTACGGTTCAAAGTGCATCACCCTGTAGATCAGTGGGTATATTTTGCAACACTGTATGAATTCGTTCTTCTAGGTTCTCATGTTCCCGGAATGTGCTGAGTGCCTTGGTACGACACGTCAGTCACTAGGAGTTGTAATTTCATATGTTTTCTCCCTTAACGTCCCCCCCCCCAACTTATGAGATGTGCTAGAATTCGTGGTGACTAAGTCGTTCCCTTTTCCACGTCATAATGTTATATTTAACTACGTAAGTAATGCAGTATATATTTATGCCACCTAATTTTGAACACCCCTGGTTCCCAGCACTTGATCACGAGCCGGAATAAGTACCGATATGTCAGTGACTTTACGCTCCCGCGAAAGTGGGTAAAGCTGATAGTGATATATTTAGTGGGTCAAGCACATTGCTAGTCAGGGACGGGTGTATGAGGTATAGTCAGTAAATAGGTCACAACTGGAAGTAAATCAGCTCTAATGGACGTTGTTGGTTTTCCGTGTGTATCACTAGGTAGAGCAGAGTCTATCTTCATGATAGTGTAGGTAGCAGACGCGCATGCGCATGTTCAGACGCTGGTTTTAGTAGCCAAAATGGCGACAGTGCTTGAGGAGCACACTACCGAATAGCAGCGTTCTGTTGTGCGATTTTTGTGTGCTAAAGGTCTGAATGCATAGGATATTGATAAAGAAATGTTTCCTGTTTATGGTGGGAAGCGTTTATGTCGTAAAGCGGTTCATAAATGAGCCGTGAAACGTGGCAAACGTTACGCTAATGACGAAGATATAGAAACGGGGGGTATGCAAATGTCCGAGACAACAGTCAAAAGGCTTCTATGCTGCGGGTTTCGACGCACTGGTAAAGCGATAGGACAAGTGTATCAGTGTTGGTGGAGGATATGTCGAGAAATAATTTTTCCCATGCTCGAATATCACTGTACATTTTATATCCATTTATGGCTTATTTACTGACTCCTCCTCGTACTTATTGCTAATGTTCCCACTTCGCGTTCCATGTTCCTAATGCGTACATATCGCTTTAATGTTACGCCATGTCCATGTCATGCAAAATTGACTACAGAAATTCTTCATTTGCGACTGTTCGTTTTGCAGTTTCGCGTATTGAAAGCGATTCGTTTACCAAAAGAAAAATACTTACTAGTATTTCTGGGTTATAACACCATATAATTCGGACAGAGCTAAGATTTTCGGAGGAAAATATCGCCTCCATATTCAGGTTCCAAGAATATGCTGAGAAAACGCCAGCAGAAGGTGACAAGCTGAACAGAACTACGAAGGCGCTACCGCCCAAAACACCCCTACACCTCAGTTCTGGTAACTTGAAGGCCCTAGCTTCTCGCAGCGGTGCCTATGAGGAATGAGGTATTCTGGGATATGACACTTTGTAAGTAACAGAGCTTGCCTACTTCTCCTTTATTCTTTGGCTCTCTCGTCGACCCCTGAAGATAAAGGCAAGTGTTCCTCCGAAACGCCGGCCTGTCTCCGAAACTCCACGGCCCTAAAATCCATAATCACCGCCGTAAGGAATTCTAATTCTAAGATATACCAAATATTAGAATATAATTTCATATCAGTCAATTAAATTTAAGAAGGCAATATTAAGTTGATTTCATTGTATGTCATTTACACGCATACAGTTTAACTTTATGGATGCAAGAGCTGAAATATAGACGTAAAAGTGTTTTTAATTTAAAAAAAGATACTTTTTCTGGGACAAATTTACGCAGCATAAAGATATAATTACAACGGTAAATTTTGTATTTATTGTAAACCATCGGAAATACAAGATTTTTCCCCCCGCCTGATCTCACTCCACAGGGATTGCCATATGAAAACCATGTTGAATTGATTTTCTGCTTAAGCATTTGTAATATATAGTTGTGAATGCCCAACAGACGAGAGGTCACAATTACTACCGTGCGTACAAGAACTTCCGAATATTGTGTTAAAAATTTTCAAATTTGTAACTCTGTCATTTCATAATTTTGTCGTAACTTCCTTTGATATTCTCTTAAATGAAAGTAAATTTTAATCACAATCATATTACAGACAATTTTACGAAATATTTTCTTATAATTGTAATGTTTGAATTAATGTGGAAGTTACACCTTTTTTATTAGTACATTTTAGATAGTATGTCGTTATCATTGCTGTATCATGAATTGTTTTAATTTGTTGTTGGGTGGAAACCACGGCCGCAGAAAGGTATAGAGTTTCATCATTTCAGTGGTCTGTGGTGCTCATATAAGACGCAATACTATTCTCTCTCTCTCTCGGAAATGTTTAAAACGCGCCAGACGTCTACCTGAAGTATGTGGCTATGTGTATTAACTGTATGGATTTACTTGTATTTATTACAAATTGAATCTTTATACAAAAAAAAATTTGAAACTGAATTGCCCCAAATGTGTTTTCAACATGATGTATAAAATTCTGCATAAAGTAAGGTACATTTTCCTTTTATAATTCTGAGACTTGTCCTTCAGTCTTCATGCTTCGGTATCTCAGAACATAAGACTTGCTGCAGATATGTATACCTATATGTATTGAGACTGCTTCTCTAGTTTGTAGTTTAAATGGGTTCCGGTAATTGGATATCCTTGCATGAATCCTCATTATATATATATAACATCACAAAACACGGTTTTCGGCACAAATCACCAGCACAATTTGAAATAGACTTATATAACCCATACTACACGTACA